TCATTTCTTTTTTTTTTTTTTTTTGAGTAGTTTCAAATTGAAAAGTTTTAGGTTAGTTGCGATTTGTTATTTACGTAGAAACAATAAATTATCGAAAATTTTCATTCTTATCAGTAAATTCAAAAATTTGTATTTACCTATCAAATATTAGTGAAATTCATCGACAAATAACTTGTATAAGGCTTTTATTATCATTGCAATTATTATTAATTACTGATATCGTTTGTTAATATCATCTCGGAATATTATTATCGCCGTTGACGATTAAGTTACTATTATTATTATTATTATTATTATTATTATTATTATTATTATTATTATTATTATTATTATTATGATCATTATTACTTTCATTCTTAATTCTTGAATTCTCTTTCATATTTTAACTTTAAAAAATTATATTCCAAATTTTGTAATCACTTTCAAATTTTTCAGTATGTGATACAATATTGATTTCATCAAAATTCACAAATAATTTACAAACTTCTCTCTTTCATCTTTCCGCTTCATTTAATTTTTCAATGATGATATGAACTTAGTTGAAACATCTGCACATTTGTTTATAACCTTTTTCTTTTTTGTCGGCAAAGATGTGAGCAAATAACGATCATTGTTTTGTGATCTGATTTATTTAAAATTTAACGTTTAAATTTTTTTAAAAACAATAATTTAAATCCAGTGAATTTTAGCAATAATTAAAAGTGATATTATAAAATTAGTGAAATTAGGAAGTAAAGGTTAAAATACTTTTATTTCCCAATTTCAGAAGAAGGGAAGCGAAATTTTGTAGTATCTAATATAATTCCTCCTTAGTAGCTTAGTATTTGTTGTGTTTTTTATCTCTTTGGATAATTATAAGATAGTAAAGATAAAATGAGTAAAATTAGGATGCAATCGATTGATATGATATGATATGATATGATAACGAAAATAATTTATCAATAGGCAGGCAATTAAAAATTACGATCGAATTGATAAAATCAAATCGTATGATTTAAGAATAAAGCGTTGATATAAATTATTACGAGTAGAGATGGATGTAAAGGAAGGAAAGTGGAAATGATAATTTAAAAAAAAATTAAATAGTTCATTTAAAGTTAAATTTTTTTTTTTTTTGGAGGGTATTCTCTCTTTTTTTTTCTTTCTTTCATTGAAAGGAAATATAAATTTCAATTAGAAATTTCTTTGTTTCATTTTTTTTATTCTCTTTTTCTTTCTTTCTTTAGCTGTCACATTAACCATAATGAAATTTTAATTTTAGGAATAGTTAAAATCAATTGGAATGGATTAATTGAACAATTCATTAATTTCTTTTTATATTGGAAATATAATGAAAGAGAAAAAAAAGGAGGAAAGTATAGATGAAAATAATTGCGAATTAAAATTTTTTTCTTTTTTTTAAATTAAAAATTATTTACAACTAATTTAGCTTTATACACTTCAAATGAGTGCTCTTTCCTTTTTTTTTTCTTTTTTTAGTGTTTTGAAAATTTTTAAATCAATGATGAAAACATACCTTTATACTGGCCTAAATTTTTATTTTATTAAAATTGTCATGGCATTATTTATAAATTAACAAATTGGAATTCATTTTTTTTTTAGCAATTCTCTTTTTTCAGCTTTATTCAGTTAGTTTTAATAATATACATTTTGTTGCACTTTTTCTTTTTTTTTTAATTAAAGGATTTTATTAGTGAAATATATATTTGAAGAATTGGAGAGATAGAATGAAACAAAAAAAAAATTAGTTTTTTTTTTTTTTTTTAATTTAGCAAAATAAATTGCTCAGTTTTTTTTAAATAATTTGTAAGTATCAATGATAGTTTTACTATAAAATGAATTATTCCCATTCTTTTCGTTTTTCTTTTTCAGTAAATATATTTCAAATTTATTCTTTTTTTTTTTTGCCATCTTATTTAATGTTTATTTTTATTTAAAAATATATATTTTTTATATTTAATTTAAAGATTTGTTTTTTCTTACTTTCAATGTAAAATTTTTATTATCTTTCACATAAATTAATGTCCATTTCATTATTTATTATCCATAATATAAGAGGAATAATTTTAATTATGAATGTATTAAAATTTATTTATACTTCTGTTAACATTGAATTTATTGAATGATATTGATTATTTATAGTAATGAAACATAAAAGTTGGAAAGAAAGAAAATATTTCTTTAAGATGGCAATTAATTATTTGATAATGTATTCATATTTTTGTGATAAATGAGATGAAAGTAGTTTACTGGTAGTAGTAGTAGTAACACTGATGTCTCTTCATTTGATGACCTCGAAAAGTGGTTTGTTGTTGAAAGTGATGGAAGATCGGAATGAATCGGAACGATCCGATACGTACGATTTAGACCAATTGAATGAGAGAGAGAGAGAGAGAGAGAGAGAGAGGGAGGCGGAATGGTCAAAGATGAAAAGAACAACGGAATTGAGGAAAGTGTGAATTGAAATGATTTATAGGATTGAGTATAAATTAAAAATGAATCGATTTAAGTCTATTTAGGCGAGAATTTGAAGGAAGTAAAAATGAATGAAATGAAATAGAAATGTTTGTGAATATGCTACTTTTTAGAATAGTTAGTTAATAAATTTAGTTTTCAAGTACTTTATTATTTGAATGAGAGGAATATTTATTTATTATTTATTCTTTCACTTTTCAAAATGAATGAATGTGAATTGAACGAAATGATTTAAATGATGGAACTTTTTTCTTTTCTTTTTTTTTTTTGTTTTTACGTGCCATTTTTCCAAACTTTGTGAGATTATAGGTTAATTAATTTTCCTAAATTACAACTAATGAATTTGCGTTTTATTTGTAGATAGTGAGTTTTTCTATTAAACTTTATAGTAATCCATTAATGCTAATATTATAATTTTTTTTTTTTTTTATCGTATGCAAATTATTTTTACACCAAATGAAATTTCATATAAAGTTGAAATGAAAATTTTTTCAAAATTTCTTAAATTCTTGTAGGAAATTGCTCTCTTTTTAATCCAATTAATTTTAAACCATTGGATAATTTGAAATAATTGGCTGAAATTTTCTGGAATAATTCCTGATCAGGTTTTTTTTTTCCCTCCAGAATTTTGACCATGATTTGTTCTTTTTTTTTTTCTTATTTTTTGCAACAATAACCAAAAATTGCTGCTTGATGACATCTTTTGAAATGAAAAAATATATTTGGGGATATTCTTTGGTGAAATAAAAAATAAAATAAAATTTAGACTGATTTGGCTGATTTTATTTTAGTTGTATAAAATAATTCAAAAATGGATATTATTATTTGCTTTAAATTAAGAATTCAAAGACTTTGAATTTCATTTAAATGTAAGGTTAATTCATCGAAATATTCATTTAATTTATTTTAATTCAGCTTTGATTTACCAATGAAATCTTTTTTCTAATATTACTTTTTTTTTCTACTTAGTATTTAGTAAGTATGGAAAAAGACTTTTCTAAAATTCCGAAAGTTTGTTTGTTTATTAGCCTAACTTTAACTATGTTTCAAATTAAGTTAACAAAAAATCAAACGCAATCATTTTGAAAAAGCAAAAAAAAAAAAACAAAAACAAAATTCCAATCTGATGAAACTTAGATAAAATAAAGGGTTGAAAATTTTTGATAATCTGAGATTTAAAAAAATAATTCTCAAAATTCATAATTCTCAAAAGTCAAATTAATAAAAATAATTCTTAAATTATCTCAGAATTTGAAAATTATTTGGTATAAATCAGCTCTTTTTTTTTTTTTTTTTTGTAATATATTTATTTTCATTTTGATGTTTATTTAAGATATTTTTTTGATTGCTTTAATATTTTTTTTTTTTTTTTTGGCTAAATTTAGGATTACTTAGTTCATCTGGGATGAAGCAAAATGTTGTAATAGTATGAAAGAAAAATTAGGATAAAAAATTTGAAATCAAGCTTAATCAGTCATCAAATTTATGCTTCATTTCAGAGATATAATTTAAATTTTAACTTAGCAAAAATTTTTCAATAACAGCGCATTTTCCATACGATGTGCTGAAAATTTTTTTTATTTTCATTTTTTATTTTTTGAAATTTAAAAGTATTAAAAATATGTAATTAAATGAAATTTAAAAAAGCATTTGTTAATGTTATTTGCTCAGTAATTTGCTACCACAAATAAATTATAATTGGTGAATAAATAAATTAATAATAATTTCGTATTTCGAATCAAATTATTTGCTATAATATTGATAATTGAAATAGAAATATAAATAATTGTTAGTTAGCATAGAGTAAGTAAACGATGAATTTATTTATGACTATTAGTTAATTAAATCGTAATAACACATAATGTAAGATTATTAGCAATCGTACATCTGTTATAGCTAATCTTAATTTCTTCAGCTGTTCCAAATTTTCATTCTTTAAAAATTGCTTTTAAGGAAATTTTTTTTCAGTAATTTGAAATTATATTTCATTTAATTTTTAAAAAAATTCATAATCATAAATATAATTTCGTAGTAATTGTTGAATTAGCGCATATATTTTAATAATTGTGTAAATTCTATTTTTTTTTTTCTAACTTTACTAATTTCAGTTTTTCTTTTTTTTCTATTTATTAATTTCAATTAAGTATTAAATTTATTTAATAATTTTGATATTTTAATCTGTAAATTTTACAACTTTTTTCATTTTGCTTACACATTTTACTGAATATGTTTACCGCGTAATGAATTGAATGTAATTTTCCGTTTTTCATAATGAATGAATTAATTTAGGAATAAAAAAAGGCAAAAAAAAAAAAGGAAAAGCAATGCAACGGTAACGATATTAATAAATGTGAAAACGGAAATTCCGGAATTGGAAAAATTAGAAAAGTTAAGCGAAAAAAAAGAAACAATCAAAAATTTTTAGAAAAAAAAAAACAAAAAAAAAAGAAAAAGTAAAACAAAGGAATGCATTGGATAAGTTATTTTGTATAAATCTGTTACGATTCTTATATGCATCATATCATATGGTAACAATAACAGCAACAACAATAACAACAACAACAATAACAATTCCAACTGCTTATACTATCATTCATTATTGTTTCATTTTAACTGTTATTGTATTTGCACAATTAATCGATGCTGGAAGTCCAAAACAACGAATTCAAAAAGGTAAGGAAAAAAAACATAAAAAGGAATATTTGAAACTTTTTTTTTTAATTTTAATAAATGATTTAAATTTAGCTTACCACTTCTTTTATTCATTTCATTTTTTTTTTTTTTTTAGTACATATTGCAAATATATAATTAATTATATATAGTATAATAATTTTAAGTTTTTTTTTTTTGCTTCAACTTTTTTTTTTTGATTTTATAAGCATCACAAAATGGAAATTTTATTATTATTTATTCATGTTTGTATTTATCTTTCTAATATTACAAATACTAATTATTAATTTTTGATGTCATATTTAATTTATTTTAATTTATATTCAAAGCTAATTACTGATTGTCGTTGCTATGTTTGTTTAATTCATCCATCGTTTAAGCTTAACATCAAAACTAAACTAAACTGTGGTGCTTTAAGAATGATAATGAATGTTAATCAGCTTATCAGTGATTGATAAGCATTAAATGAAGCCTATTTTTATGAATGTTTATATGAATAAGTCAGTCTTTTAAAGCGTAATACTGAAAATGAAACTTTTTCAAATTATAATTAAATAATTTTAAAAATTGTGAACTGGAATTCTTAGCATTTCTATTTAAATTTTTTTTTTTTAAAGTCAATTGAAAATTAATATTACTAATATGATTATTATCATTTCGATTATGAATTTCAGATTCTTTTTGCTATCTTAAATTTATTATGATATTATTTTTTTAATATCGTACAGATATTTTGGTCAGAAAATAAGAACGGCAAAAATATTCGATCGATACTTTCACTTTTATATTTCAATTCAATTTATGTTTTAAAATTCCTTATTTTAAATCCTTCTTAATCCTTAATGTTTTGTCTTTGCATAATATTATCATTTTATATATTATTTCATATTATCATTTTATATATTATTTTAAAGTTTACAGAAACAGTGAAAGTAAAATAATTTAAATTTTAATAAAATAAAGTAGAAAAAAAAATGTTTATGAAATGCATTAGTTACTTCTTCCAGAGTATGGTATGTGTGACACTTTTTTTTTTTTTTAAATAAATGAAAAAAAAAGTAAATTTTGTCAAATTTTTTTTGACGAAAAACAAGAGAGCATTTTCTTTTTTTTTTGTTATTAATTATAATAGTAATAAAATAAAACTTAATTAATTTATATTTTTGAAAACTTCCAATAAATTACTTTTTTCATAATTTGCAAAAGAGAAAAAAAAATTCGTAAATAAAATATTAAATCATTCAGTTCTGTTTCAATTGATTATTTAATTTTTTAAATTAACATTTGACGTTTTTATCTTTCTTTTCCTTTAAGTACCGTCAGCTCCACGTGATATTGACGTCGCATTGGTTAATGCCTCAGCGGTAAAAGTAAGCTGGGAAAAGCCATTATACGCAAACGGTGATATCATCGGATATTATGTTTATAAGGATCGATTATTAAACGGTGAACCAATCAATGATAAATTACAACGTGCAATCATCTATGATCAACACGTTAGTTTGATATTTTATCAAATTTAAAAATTTTTGTTTACAAAGGAAGAAGGAAAAATGATAAAATTTAAATGGAATTTTTATTATTTATAATTTTTACTTGTTTTATTATAATTTAATTTTTACTTGTGTGTACATTGTGAATATATTTTTACTTGTTCAATTATACTTTTTCTTTTTTTTTAAAAATGAATTTTTACTTTAAAATAATAAATATCATTGTGAGACATTCATTTTAATGAGTGCTATTTAAAATATGAAAAGAAAAAAAAGAAACTAAAAGTTTTTTAATATTTAACAGAAAATATAACAAAACTCATCATTTAATAGTACGCTGCAAGAAATATTAAAAAAAAATTTTTATAAAATTGGAATTATGATATAATATGTTTAAGGATTGAATGTTAAATGATGTACCAATTACTGAAATATAATTATGTAAAATTTACTTTTAAAAAATAAATTTATTATTAAATATTTAAAATATATTACGATTGATTTCCTTTTTGCTAAATGGAATGTGATATTGGAATATTTTAATATAAATGAATAAATTCATTTGAAAATTAACTCTATCTAAATTTTAAATATTTCATTGAAAATGGAAAGATAATAGCTGTTTAGGAATGCTAATTAACTAATAATTTAGTGCACTTTGTCAATTTTCTCTTCTATATTATCATTTTTTTGCATTTTTTTTTAAACCGATTTATTTTGGATAATCTTTCCGTTTTCCAGAAAACACATACATTAATCACAGATCTTGAACCGAATACTGAATATTCATTCCGGGTAAATGCTTTTAATAGACATGGTGATGGTGAATTTAGTGCAAGCAAAAAAATTCTTACCGGTGGATTGCGTGAGTTTTCTGTTTTAAAATTTATTTTTAATTTTTTTCTTTTTTTTGTTTAAATATTTCATTGTCTTTTAATGATAGATAATTTTTTTTTTTTTTGTAAATTTTATTTGTAAATTTTTGGAAAGAAAATTTTCTCTTTTGCTTTATAAATATGTAACAATTTGTATATGTCATTCCGGATTCCGGATTATTTTTTTAGCTCCATCAGAACCACAAACACATTCCGTTAATTTGCTCAATGATGAAGCTCCATTACGGGCGCGTGTTGACTGGAAACCACCAAAAGTTTGAATTATTTAGCGAATTGATATTTACATTAGTGTTTGGATGATAAAAATGGATTTAATTAATATGCTTAATTATTTGAATAGAAATGATTTAAATCGAAATTTTATGAAAAATTTATGGTGAAAAAAATTATATTTAAAAAAATTTGAATTAAATTCCAAAAGTAATACTCCAAAAATTAGATACTAAAAAAAGAATTAAAAAATTTTTATATTCTTTAGACGAAATTTTGTTATTAAAAGAAAGAAAAACTTGTTAAAAATTAAATATTTAAATTATTTTATTTCTTTCTTTTTTTTGTTTAAAGTAAAGTTAAGGTTAAAATCATAATTAATTCGTTTGCATTTGTAATAAATTTCAGTTCACGTATAATTTACCAATCAATAAATATTTGATTTGGTATAAACCGTTCGAACACATCGATGCACGCAAAGTTGAAGTACCTGGAACCCAAAATTTTGCTATCCTTGATGGCTTATGTAAATGCTTTTTCATTATTACTTTGTACTTATTAAAATATTTTAAATTAATCTTAATTTTAAAAAAGTTTTTAAATTCTAATGAATACTGTTTATTTCCTCAAATATTTTCCACTAACTCTTTTAGTCTATTATTTAATATTCATTCTTTTAATGTTTCGTTGACAAAAAAAATTATATCTAAAATCAAGGATTAATTATATTGAAATTAAGCGATTAATTAATCTTCAATTTATCGATTTATATAAATTAAATTGTAGTTTATTGTTAATAACTTGAGCTTTCATTACTGAATTTTTCAAATTTATTGATATTGATAGAGATTCTGATTTTATTATTGAATAAGAATGATTGATAAAAGATAAAATTAAATTACAAAATTACGATGAATTAGTTAAAAGCAATTAGACATAAAATTTTTCAAGAAAAAAAATGCTTTCGCTTTTTTATTGATTGATTGATCATGAATCGATTAATTAATTATTGATAATATAATTCCGGATCAGGATAGATAATAAATTATTTGAAAAATAAATGAAATTTTTGCCGATTACATTTACCATTTCGTTTTTTTTTTTGTCATTTTTTATTCATTTTTTTTAAAATTAATTAAAAGATTATTTGTAGTTATGGGACGTTTGTATGAAATTAATATAGCAGCGGAGAATGATGACGGTGTGGGCGTTAACGCAACGGAATGGTTAACAACACCGGTTGGAATACCTGAAGCGGAACCACTTAACGTACGCTACGAAATTAACGCCAATCAGGTAGAATTATGAGAATTATATTAACTAATGCGTGAAATTCATAAAAATGAGTTAAACATTTTCAAGAATAAATTGATGCGATAAGAAAAAATTTTGAAACTTTGGCTTCAAAATTTTGAAATTTCTTCATTTCAACTTTTAATAATTATTCCATAACAATTTGCCAGCGAAATAATCAATAAAATTTTTTTTTTTAAATATTATTTCAAACTAAAAATGCTTGCATAATTCGGAAATAAGTTTATAATTGGATGAAAATTTTAAGCTAATTACAGCATTCATTGCTATATTTTATTTAAGAAAATAGATTATATGTAAAAATTCTAATCCATTTCTCCCTTCTTTTTTTTCGTCTCCTTTTATTTTTTAGAATCCAACTTTTTCATTAAAATTTTTCCACTTTTTTTTTTTACATCTTTTAATGTTTCTTCCTATTACAATAGTCAATCAATTAAATTTGTAAATGATATGATTGGAATGAATTCAAACTCACATGGGAATAATTTTAAAATTTTAATTTAGATATACTTTATTATATTATCGTACTATCACTACTAGTGCTACCATTTTAGTTTATGTAAATGAAATGCTGATAGACTATAGTATAATGTTGAAAAATGATAGTAAAATATTCCATTCGTCTATTAAAACATTATTTTAAGCATTTTCTAATTAATTAAGCTTAGTATAAAAGATAAATCATTTATCAATAATTAATGAGCGATTAAAAATAATTTAAATTACGTTTTTTCAGTAGTAATATTTGATTTGAAAGGAATATAAATAAATGAATAAATAAAATAAGAGAAGAAGCTTACAATATATTGCATACAAGAAAAATAAACAGAGAAATGAAAAAAGAAACATTCATACTTATAAATTAAATTTTTTTACATTATTCCTTTATTCTTTTGTTATTATGATTATTTGAAATGAATAACTAAATAATTAACTATGTTTTATTGTTTTAATTAAATCTAAACTTTTAGCTAAAATTGAAATTAGAATGGAATATATTATAGAAAGATGCTTAATTTATATGCTTAATCTAACAATTTTTATAATAATTTTCCATTGTTAATTAATATTTGAATCGGAAAGATGTAAAAATTTGCTCAAAATTTGCATCATTTAATAAAATATTTCAAAGAATATCAAAATATATAAGCATAGTTTACTAAAACATTTGAAAATTTAATAGCAAAAATATTTTCAAGAAGTATTATTGGGTGTTTTACTAAACACAATTGAACCATTTTATATATTTCAAAAAGAAATTGTTCTAATGAATGCCACCTGTTGAGCTCATCCGTTCCATTTAATCATTTCATCTTCACTTAAAACATTTTAATGATTTTTAAAAAAATTCTCTATGTACCATTTCGTGAATTGTCACATTAAAAAAAAAAAAAACGTTTTTATACTTTTGCATAAATTATTTATTTTGCTAAATTTCTATCTTTTTTTTTGCTAAGAAAAATAAATCGATAAATTTTTGTTAGTTTATTTAAATTTTAGTTTATTTTTTATTAATATTTTTTTCTTTTTGAAAAAGTCAATAAGTCAAAATTTTTACCAAAGAAAAAAAATAATAAACTGATTGTTTGGATTAAATAAGAAAAATTCAAAAAAAATTTTTTACTTTTTTATTTCCTCTCAATTTGATTACTTTAAATATTTAAAAAGAAATTTTAAAAGTTTAACTAATGTAGAAGAAAATGCCAACGATAACTTTACAATAAATGATAAATGTTTGCTTATATATTGACAATCTCCGCGAAAATGCAGTCGTTATCATATCATTGTTATCATTATCATTGCTAATAATATAATCTCCGCAAGGTGTCATTGCTATCATTAGTTGTTAAGTTCCTAAATTCCTGGGAAGATACAGTTTACATAATTACCCAAGAAAGAAAGATTTTTTTTTTGCCTTAAAAAAAAGGAAATAATTGTTCCGGAAGCTATTACATGGAGAAGTTGTGTTGTTTACGGATATTATATATAGTTCATGAAAAATATATCCGTTACGGATTTTTGTAGTTTCCGGAGATTTACCTAATTTACAAAGTATTATCTATTATTTTATTATTATAATTACTTGCTTTTTGCATTTTTTTGTATCGCTTTTTCTCCAATAATTTACAAAAAAATGCTAAAATTTTTGCTTTATTTTCCATTTTTCATTGTGAAGTAAAATCTTTAAATTAAAATTTTTGATATTAAATTTTTAATTATAAGATAAAAATTTTGATATTAAATCATTCATTCATCTTTTTGAATTTACATTTATTTCATTTGCAAGTAAATAGTAATCATTTCTTTCATTGAATTGTCAGTCTACTGCATCCGTAATATATTTTCATGGTTAAATCGAATATGGGAAATGGGAGATAATCCGGAAAGGATTATCTCAGCCAAATAGCTGCTAAGTATGTCTGATATATGCTTATAATCAGAAATATCATTATTAGCATCGAAATTAAAATTTGAACGATTTTAATGATTGTAATAATTCGTTTGGATCAAACTGTTAGACAAATTAATCAGATGTACCATCAAAAATATAATTATTTCGAATTGATTTTGATTATTTACAATTGAAATATTATCCATAACTTATGTTGAAGTAAACATTTAGAGAAATTTTTTAAAAAAATCCTAGCAAATATTCTTTTTCTAATTAAAAAATTAAGGGAGCAGTCGTTTTTTTTTTTTTTTTCATTTTCATTATTATAATTTCCTCTTATGTTTTTTATTTTGATATTATTATCATACGATATGATATTTAATAAACTTAAGCATCGTATGTTAATTTTATTTCTTCAGAAGAAATAATAAAATACTATGACAATAAAAGATTATTTAAAAAGATAATTAATTTTAATAAATTTCTTTTCCTGTAATTAAAAATTTGTAATAATAATACATATTTATTATCATATGCATTATGTGTTTTCATGAAATATTAGACAAAAATTCGTTAATTTTTCGTATCATTTGTTTGAATTTTTAAACTTTTTTTTTTTTATAAAATTATAAAATTCAAATCCATTATTATTGCTATTTCTTAATTGTTTCAAAGTAATATCTATTTCTCATTTTTCATTAATAAATTTTGATTGTTTAATCAAAGATAATTCATACAGTGTATAAACTGACTTTGAATGAAAAAAAATTTATATAAATTATTAATTAAGTATTTCGTCGTTTCAATTGCTACAAAGGAGCAAAATTTGAAATTGTTTATTCCAAGTGGCAATTTGAAATTTTCAAATATTTGCTAATATTTGTAAAGTTAATAATTTTTTTCAAAAAGCTAACATTTTGCTTATTGATTTCAGCTTACCATTAAAACTTCCATTTTTATTTTAAAATAAAAAATTAAAAAGAAAAAAATGATGAAAGAAAAGTGAGTGCTATTCAAACACGTCATCATTTTACTTGGAAATTCAAAAACTTTTAATTTTATTTTTTATTTTTTTCTTTTCTTTCTCTTTCGCTCTTTTTTTCCCATCAAAAATTATTATTTATACGACGCATTTCCTTCCTTTCTTTCTTTCCATTTCTTTTCTTTTCTTTTCTTTTCTTTTCTCTCTTTTTTTTTTTTGTTTAATTAAATGATATGGGAGGATTAATTTTTCTCATTACTAAAACATTATTTCCCATTTGATCATTCTATTTTAATCATTGTAAAAGTTAAATAAACAAAGTATTTGAAATTGATGCAAGAATGATAAGATGAAGAAAGCATATCATTCGGTATTGATAGCAATGATAATACAATTAAATGATGCAATATTTTTTCCTTTTTTATCTAAAATGGATAATATCCGATGATAGTAATTGAATTGATCGTAGTACTTAAATTACGAGGAATTATATTTAATCGGAAATGGATAGATTTGATCATATATTTTTTCTCAAAATTCACTTTATGATTGTTTTTTTTCCTCACTTTCTTTGCACTTTCTTTTATGTTTATTCGTGAATTTTTAACAACATTTTGAAATTTATTTTCACATAACTATTCGACCAATTTTGAATTTTATAAAATTCTTTTAAAAAAAGTTTTTACTTTGTTAGATTTTCAACTTTATATTCTATCTAATATCAATGATTTTATGTGGAAATATTTGATGCAAAGAATGTTTTTTGGTATTTTATAATTTTATTTGTTACATTTATAATCCAAATTTATCAGTTTTACAGTGAAAATTATTTTACATTAGTAAAGTATAATATTTGAGAATGAATAGATGAGATTGAAATTTGCTGTAATGCATTTTAAGCAATGAATGTAATCAATGTTTTAGCCTCGCTTTATATCTTCTTTTCATTATTATTTCCTTATCATTTATCATCCTTATCACTCCATTCACTCTTCCTATCCTTTCCTCTCGTTTATTTATGGACTCTCATTTATCAAATAATCAAATAGATTTATCTTATCAATAAATCACCATTGCTGCAAAGTTTATTTTCATTATTCTCACAAAATTAAATAATTCGTATAAATAGTGTTAGCATTATCCGAAATCAAGACTCTAGATTAGCTAAATCAGTTCCTTCTTTTTTCTTCACTAATTAAAGTTAGATTAGATCTTTTTTGTTTTCCAAGACAGATCAATATTTAGTCTTTCATTTCTCTATATTAATTTTTGGATGAAAACAGGAAAATATCATTTATAAATTTAAGTATAAATAACTTTTCTTTTGCATATTTACTACACGGGTTAAATTAGCATATGTCAATTTAAAAAACTTTAATTTTCATAGGTTGTGTTTTGCTAACAATTTAGGATTAAAAAATTAATTAACAATTATTATTATTAGTTGCGTTATCATTTTTCAGCCAATAATTCGTGGAATTATAGTCGTAGAAGAAGCACTACACTAATACTCTGTTTTGTTTTAATTTAACTAAAGTTTAATTTATTCTGATTGATTATTGGCGTTGATTTGAATAATCATCTACTTGATGTACTGATAAACCTTATTTTCATCATTCA